TAAATATTGGTAAGATACCATGGTGGAGTTGGTGTTCTTCCATTAAATTGTAACCTGAGATACTTTATATCTACCTGAGAGGTAGAATGATTTAATAGGATAGACTGCAATGTTTCAACTTTCAGCTATATTTCTTTATCATCTACTCAAAAATAAGAAGGTATTTCATATGTTTTACACTATTTTATAATTACTGCAAGGTTTAACCTTTAACTTTGTTCTTTCTTTCTATCTTAAGATTCTGTACCTAGGTACTTGCATCTAAGATGGAGCCTTGTGTGGCAACATTATCCACTTTTCATGGTATTTCTGTACTTCTGTGCTTGAGTACATGCGGCAATAAAATCAAAATCAAGATGTCTCAACTGAAAGATGAAATATCCAGCAGAGCAGCATTGTAACGTATTGTGTGAATATTAAAACTACAGCCTCTCCATCAAGACATGAGAGTTGAGCCAAAATTGACTAATTGATGGAAATCGACTGCTGTACATCAGTCAATGACTACGTTATCATTAAAGTTCCTGTCACATTGTTGGAGGGAGATTTATTGTTATTATTCTTCTAACATTTCCCCTGATCTTATGAAGGCAGATTTCACAAAGGGAAACATTCCTTTCCATTAAGTCTAATATGTATCAAGTGATAAACTCTCACCTTGATCTGAGCAAAAAGTATTCCCATAAGTAAAACATTAGCTTTTTGCTCCATAGTTTATTCTTTCAACAGTTGACATTATGACAGTGGGGCAATTAGAATTTAAAAAAAGCATTAAGGCACCAGGGAATGTTTAAACATCTGCAAGACCAGTCATTAGTTGGGTGGGGAAGAACAGTGAAAAAAAATGTTTATACTATCTTTCTACTTGTGTTCCAAATTGATAGCACAGATTAGCAAATGGCTTCCCTGAAAAATATTAAACACAGAATAAATCCTTCTTTTCATCACTGATCAATTGGTTAAATACTAGGGACTGCCAGCTGACCTCAATTGGAGAAAACGCAATAACTTTGAAATATATTACGTGACAAACTTACTCAGGCTTACTTACATAGTTCTTTGTGAACTGAAACAAAATGGACACTAATGGATTCTCACATTATACAACACACCCATTTTGCATTCAATTGGAGTCAAAGGAAAAGAAAATAAGATTAGGCGTATAATGGGTGACCTGTTTGTCAACATTGCACAAAATTAACGTTACTCCACTGCATTCGTGTGAAACAATTGAAAGAGCTTACATTTCTGTTGCAAATTTCTAGGTGTCCAACAGACAGTGAAGTACTTTTGAAGCACAATCACCTTTGCAAATAGGAATTGGGCATGCTAACATTTTAGCTGGCAGGCTAATCGATCTATTTTGACATCCCCCTGACAACAGCAGACAAAGTGCTATTATAGAATGGCTGTTAGAATGAGGAAGGCTCTGGAGTAGTGGTGACACCACTGAACCAATCATCCTCTTGTGGGAGTTTCTAGGACCAAAGGGCATAATCTCAGAGTAAAGTGCAATCCATTTAAAACAGAGGAATGGAGGATTTATTAATCTCTGAAGGTAGTGAATGTGTGCAATTCTTTACTGCAAAGGGCTGTCAAGGCTGAGACACTAAGAATATTCAAGGCTGAGATAGACAGATTTTTAATCAGTAAGGGAATTAAGAGGTATGGGGGAAAGGCAGGAAAGGGGAGGGGAGGATTATCCAATCAGCCATGATATCACTGAACGGTGAAGCAGACTTGACAGCTTGCATAGCCTACTGCTGCTCTTATGTCTTATGGTCTTATGGCCATCAGAGACAACAGATGAAGGGGAAGATTGAAACCTTGATGGACTTAAAGTCGTGGATCTACAAAGGAATGTTGTGCAGGGTGCACAGAAATGAGTGTAGATTAAAACATGCAGCTATCGTCTCTATGTCAGTCTTTTTGCACCTCCAGAATAATAGCATTTTGGTATCCAATGGGCAGTCAAGTTGAATTTGACTACAGTATTGTCTCTTTTTAACACCTCAAAATGCAACACTCTGCATGTTATTAGCTTATCCTTTGGAAATATCTGATACAAGACACCTTCTACTAAAATAAAGGGCTTGCATTGAAAAAGGCCTTAAAATGTTACGGAGATTTTACAGTCAATGAGGCAAATTTGAATTGCAGTCTCAACTCTAATGTAGCAATATTTACAATCAATTTGTCCACAAGTTCTCACACATGAGAAGGGAATCAAATGTCAGATCACCTATTTATTTTCTAAATGTTGATTGATTAATAAATATTTGCAAAGTCACCCTATGCATTTTGGAAATAGTGCCAGTGTGATGTAGGCTGTGTGATTTATGTATATTTTTAATCTCATTTGTGTTAAATTTGGACTTTTAGATTGTGGATTTTTCTGTGTCCGACGGAACAACAACAAAAATAACTGGAGAGAACCAGCAGGTCTGGCAGCACCTATGGAGAGAAGACAGAGTTAATATCTGAACCTTCTTCTGAACTTGTGAGTGTTTCTGTAGCCATGGTGATTTTTAGATAGAATTTGTGAATACTAGTCATCAGAACTAAAAGATTTTTATTTATCTTCTGGGGTATTATGACCAAGTAATGTAAACAATTGTGTTTCAAGGTTAGGGTTAGTGGAAACAGCCATAGCTTAGGGAAGCAAAGAGATTGAGAGAGAGAGAGAAAGACCTTTTCTCTTTTCACTTTTGGGGAAGTTCTGCAAAAATTCCATGTGTAAAGTTGCTTCTGAGAAGTGATAAAGTAGTTTCATTAGTTAGCATTAGATTACATTAGAATAAGGAATTAGTAATAGTTCCAGACCAAAAGTGCTTGTAAATACCTGAAGAGGTTATTTGACACTGAGTCTGTTTAAGCTTCAGTTTATGATAGCTTTAGGAAGAAGCAATCAGATTTTTAGACAAGAAGTTGAAGTCAAATTGAATCCATTGAGTTTACTAGTGCATAGGGGGTTATTCTTTGGTGCCGTACATCAGTATCTTGGGTATCTATAAAGGAGCGTTTTGAGATTAATGGGATTGTACTTTTATTTTGCGTTAAAAATGTTTAAGTTTGTGTTATGCATAAATAGATTGGTTTATTCTATTTTAACTGAATTTCTCTTGCTTAATAAGTTTAGGTTTTATTGTTAAAAACAAATTTGCAACATTGCACACTTACATTTCAGTGAGAGACCACCTCTATTAAAACCAAAACAAAATATTATTTATCAAGCCAGATTTCAAATTGGGATCTTCCTGGTCCACTAATAACTTCAGATGGGATCATGAAACTTTTACATCCACTTGAGGGGGCAGATGGGGCCATGCTTTGACATCTTATCTGAAACTTAGACCTCTGGCACTGTGCATTCTTTTGCATTCTTTTAAAACTGCACTACAGTTGATTACATTGGTAACCTCACTTCTCTGAAAGGAGTGGAGCTTGATTCCATAACTTTCTGATTCAGAGGAGAGAGTGCTACCAACTGTGTTATTGCATCAAGCTAAACCTTGAGGCATCTCATGGCACAGTGGGTAGCGCCCCTGCCATTGGGCCAGATGCTCTGGGTTTAAATCCCACTCTAAGACTTGATGGGTGAAGAAGGTGTGTCTACATTCAAACCAAATAGGTTGGATGTCAACTTGTCGATACTTCCAACACATTTGGATGGCAGGCAGTAAGAGTGGGGTGATTCCTAATCATCCACGCAAAGGAGAAAATGTTAGAGCCTCTTTTGCACCTGTGTAAAGGTGAACATTGCCACAATGGATGGGGCATCCTTAGTGAACTGCAACACACCACCACAAGACCATGAACTCCAGATGGGAGTTACACGGGCTGAGAGGAAGACAGGTTTGTGTTTATGTAGCTTCTTTCAAGACAGCAGGATATACTAAGACAGAGTCATAGAGATGTACAGCACAGAAACAGACCCTTTGGTCGAACTTGTCCATGCCGACCAAATACTCTACATTAATCTAATCCCATTTAGATTAAGTATTATTGAAATACAGTCTTGCAGGCAATGGGGCAACTTGGGGTCAGTGGTGGCTTAGTGGTTAGTACTGCTGCCTCACAGCACCAGGGACCCAGGTTCAAATCCACCCTCAGGTGACTGCCTGTGTTGAGTTTGCACATCTTCCCCATGTCTGCATAGGTTTGCTCCAGTTTCTTCCCACAGTCCGAAGATGTGCAGGCTAGGTGGATTGGCCTTGCTAAATTGCCCATAGTGTTTAGGGATGTTTAGATTAGGGGGATGTTCTAAGGGTTGGTGTTGACTTTTTGGCCAAAGGGCCTGTTTCACACTGTAGGGATTCAATGATCTATAATAACCAGATAAACTCTTTCAATGATGTTGATCGAGAGTATGAATAAACATCAAGCTATGAATTGTAACTATATAAAATAATTATTTTACACAATAATATGTGTTAAAGTGAAATGTGCTCAATTATTTAATAATATAATTCAAGCTTGCATGAAATTCTACAAAAGATACACCATCCCAATGACTTCAGCTGGTGTGGGACAATTCAGCTCCAAACCAGTCACCCACTGGGCGAAGATGACAAATTCCTTCACTTCCGCATGAGTGAAACTTACAAGACGTGTCATTCGCTCTGCATTCAAACGAAAACACACTAAAGCACTGCAAAGTTTGCGGGGGAGGATGGTGTTCTTTCCAATGAAACTCGGGGGAAAAAAAGAAAAGCATATTAGAATTAAATCTGGGGACATCGGGTTTGTAAGGGAGGTCAGGTTAGTTTGAAAGAAAAGAACATTGATCACTTTATATATATATATATAGAGAGAGAGAGAGAGTCAAAATTCTGACTGATAAGTGGGAAAACTGATTAGCCCAGGATGAATGGCAGTTTTCACAATTTCCGCGGAGGTGGAAACAGGGACTGGGTAAAATGTAATTTGATGCAGAGGCTGTCACATTGATTAAGAAAGAACAGGAGACGGGTTCCAATGCCACGCCTGTCCATGACGTTCCAGCAGAGAGAGAGCTGAGGAGGCAGAACTGAGTTTAGAGTGTGTGACTGTTTCAATCAATCCCCCTTCTTTTAAAAAAAAAGCGTGAGATCTGTGGGGAAGAGCCGGACTGTCAATGAAAGAGGTTAAAAGAACAAAATGAAGAGGAAAAATAAATCCGGTTGACCCTGGTGTTCCTACCTTTAGCCCCTCACACACACGCTCCTGGAGGATCTTAAAGCATGGGACTGTGCCCCGGAGCTGCTATTAGATGTTAAATGTTCGGCAATATGTGGTAGGAAAATTTTAAGGCTGTTTGTCAACATGTTATAAAAATGCGCGTGGTTAAAGCTGAGCAACAGGACTTAATTCTGCGTGAGATCTTTCACTGAGTTCCCTTACGAAGCAGCAAAAACCATTTATTTTTTTCTCCTGGGGAAAGTCCACTTTAAAACAAACTTCCCCTGAACAAACTCGGCAAAGGTTTTTGTTTTGAATCTGTGTCTTGAGTTAGGGGAAGGTGGTGAACATGTTTCGCGTAACAAATGCATGTAGTTTGTGGACAGGGTTTGAGTTTGTCTGTGTGTGAGTTGCGTGTGTAGACAGGCAACAGCCAAAGGGTCAGTGCAGCTCTCAAAAGCAGAGGAGATTTAACAGAATGGTTCAGACTGAATGAAGTATTTGTAACCAGTTTTAAGATCCGTTGGTATAAGAACCAGAACAGATCTATTTTTTAAACCTAGTGAATTGTGACCTGCAGTATGCTGCCTGACTGGGTATGGGAAACAGGTTTCAGAGTAATGTTGGAAAGGACAATTGGGTAAATGCTTAACATATTAACTGGGGGAAGAGGGTTGCTGAGGAGTGGAACAGATTACCTCATGGAGTCAATCTGGGCATGATGAGAAAACAGGGGGCACAGTCATGGCATAGGTAATGATGCTCAGTACAGCCACGATGGGCTGATTGGCCTCCTCCTGTGCCGTAATACCTCTGTGAGAGGATAAGGGGTGAGACCGTTCAGGACTGAGATAAAGAGAAATTTCTTTGCTTGGAGGACAGTGATGTTTTGGATCTCTCTACCCCAGGAGGTTGTGGGCACCAGTTATTGAGTATTATCAATGCGAGGTTTATCGTTCTTTGGGTACTAAGAGATTTAAGGAATACTGCAGGCACACACTGAATAGCAGAGAAACTTTGAAGGGCTAAATCACATCACCCAGTTTCTATTTCTTGTGTCCTTCTGATAGTATGCATGGCCTCCTTCAGTGCTGTCTGATTCTCTGACATTGGGGGTAGACCAGCATTTCAGGAGTTCATTAGCAATCCTTTATTGAAATGGAAAGTTGTTCTATTTGGAGAATTGCTGAGATTTGATCTATGTGAGTCGGTAGACTTTATCCATTTCCATTTCAACAAACTTGACCCAAGATTTTGGTTGTCAGCTCAGCATCCTGATGTGGTTTCCATGGTTTCTCTGATGCAGCGATGATTTCTGTAAAATCTTCCCATCCTCGCTTTGCACTCGAGAACACCAGTGAGATTATACTCAAGTGCGTGTGGAATAAAATACTGGATAATAGGGGCTTGTGCAAGGAAATAACCCAAATTGAAGGGTTCGGGTTGTCATTAGAAGATAAAAAACTGGTCCATAGATTTTTTTTTCATATTTAGCAAATACTCAGAGTGGTTGACTTGTAATTAAAATTCTTTCAAACACAGTCTAATTATGGATGTGGATGAATTCCACTGCATAATTGCAGCAGATGAAGATAAGTAAAGGAATTTCCTGAGTTCAGTAAATGACTTCGAGATTTAATGAAGTGGATCCAGGGTATGAACAGTGTGTCCTAACCAGCAACCTGTTCACACCCACTGACCACTGACTCAGGCTGAACGAAACTGTCTGCAAATCTCTCATTCTATTTCACCTTGAACTGAGTTTCTGAACTGATTTGTGTCTCTCAAACATCATTCATCTCTGCATCTCCCTCAGCTCACCCGTTCCTGAAATTGGACAGCTTCCCCAAATCTACTCTCCGTGAACTTGTGTGTGTGTGTGTGTGTGTGTGTGTGTGTGTGTGTGTGTGTGTGT